TAAGATTTGCTTTAAAAGCACGTGTAAAACTAGAACTAACACTAGACCTAGAACTAGAAACATTCGGATTTAGCCGCAAGTCTTTCAAGACGGCTAAACCCGAATGATTCTAGTTCTAGGTCTTGTGTTAGTTCTAGTGATAATTCTAGTGTAAAACTAGAACTAACATTAGACCTAGAACTAGAAACATTCGGGTTTAGCTGCTTGAGCGTAACATGCAATGTGATCTATTGGTCCGATACTGACATCATTTTCAAGATTACAAAGTATATAGCAGTCCTTTTAGATTCAACCGTCCTTGAGAGTGTGCAAAATTCCTTCTGAATTCGAATAAATCTTATTATTGTAATCTTGAAGAACAAGATTAATTTAAAATTGGATGATCCCAAGTTTTGACGAAATAAACCCTCTTTAAGTCACTCTTCCTAAGCCTTAAAAGTGATCGTAGGTGATGACATGACGTAGGCCATATCGAAATCGTACGAAAAGAAATAAAAAAGAAAATTAAAATAAAAATTGTAGCTATATTATAGAGGAGAGCATTTCATGACAATAGAAAAATTTTTGTAGCTTGCGTATTGTAATTAAGAAATTAATTAATAATTAAAAAACCAGAATGAATAAAAAAATAAAGTTATAAATTTCGTTTATTAGAACATGATATATCACATAAAATATTTATAGTGAGGTTCGTTTCCGTCTGTTGAATGAAGTTATGTACATAGATCTCGGTTGTTACAAAAAAAAAATAGTTTGTAGTTTGGATTTTTTATAAATAATGATAATAAAACGAACCCGAAGCAAAAAAGAAAAACCGAGCACAAAACAACTTAATTTCTCTTTATTTATCGAGATACTAATTTTAAGATTTACCATTTAAGAGTAGTAGAGCTTCGAATTTTTTGGGCTCAAACGCTGTATGCTCTATAAATAAAGCAAAAAGAAATTAATACGTAGCAAAATGATAGAAATAAGAACAAAAAATGAAACGAAACGATTTATTTAAAAAAAAAAATCTAATTTTCTCTCTTAATTCTAAAACTCTTAAAATTCAAAAACCAATAATGCTCCATCTTCCTATTTTTTAAATGTACTTTTAAATGTATATATAAATATTTAAATCCCAAAATAAAAAAAAAATCAACGGTGAAAAGTGTTTAAATAAATAAAAACTTAATTGTATATGATGTCAAAACAGATTCGTAATAATAATAATTGTAAAAACCCAAAATTCACAAAATGTAACTCAAAAATCCTTTTTGAAAAGTTAGTGTGGGCCCAATAACATTGTATTGAGATTTAGAAGACAAGAATTAGTACATAATGTCCTCCAAATTTGAATCAACGATGATGATCTAGTTTGCACAAGGCTTTACCGGTATGATGGCAATATAATAAATGGGAATAAGAAAAATATGTATAAATAAAAAAATGTATTGATGATGTAACCTAATAGTTTCCTCCCAAAATTATGGTTTAATTTCAATTTACAAATTACACCCTTAAGATTAAGATGTAAATTGAAGGTAAACCATTAAAATTAGTTTTAATTTTAGTGCTTTAATAAAATAAACGTGTGTTTAGCACCAGAAAAAATTATTATTTATCTCGATCGTTTTAACATGTATTTAAATTATTTTCAAAACAACAATAAAAATACGATAATATATTATTATATTGTGAGAGTAAATAAAATGTGGCAAAATTTTGCTCTTGTTATGTAGAAAATAAATCATATCATTCGTCCTGTTTACCTTATGTTCTTTATTTTATTACTTTCTCACATATACATGGTATATAAAGAGAAGTAATCAGAAGTGATACTTTATCGATTCATATTTAATTTCAATTATAGTATATTATTATATGAGCTTATAATGAGGGCTGTTATTCACGAAGGTTAAGTTTATGTCACGAGTGTAGCGAGTAAACAGGCGAACCTGAGTGAATAATAGCTCATTATATGCGAGTAGAATACTATACTTTGTCCACGACTATTGAAATTGATTCCATAAATTTATTTTTTAAATAAATTTTTGAATAAAGGTTAAACGTCAATGTGACACAAATTCAATGTCACTAACTGTAACCAACTTCACAACAATTTGTCAAAATTAAATGTCAGTTTTATAAAACGTCGTTTTCTTTA